ATTAACTTTGTAGAAAGTAACGATGAAAAGCGAAGAAAATAATGAACAGATAGCAGAAGTCTTCTCCATCAGATCTTAGCTGGCATCATAAGTACTGGAGATCTGAAAATTTCTATGTACATACATCATTGAGAATGTAGATCGAAATCACCAACTTGCTCCGATGGCTAAGAGTCAACATGCATTGTGGTGGATAATAATGAATAGCACTTATTTTTTTTGTGTGAATTTTATGCTTATGAAAAAGAAAAAGCTTCATGGTTCAGTCAGTTCCTCATCTTTTCCGGCTATATTGCAGCTATGCAAGCTATTAATTTTATCAAAGTCCATAAAATTATGCTAGAATGATTGCATTATTAATACTTCAATTAGCTAAGTTCAAATAGCTTTCAAGACTCAGAAGAGAACCCTTGCAGCGAATTTCATGATCTTTTGAGTAACGAAAGACTATATATTGGGCTTCAGTTGCCAATAAAAATATCAAGAATTACTCATGTATGTGATAGAAAACAATGCAAAAATTAATGAACAGCGTTTTTAAGTTAAAAAAGTTGAAGAAAAAATAGACATTCTTAGTAGAGTATGTGCTTTACAAATTTTCAGATCTCCTACACGTATGAAAGCTGAGATTTGCTGGGGGGGCACGAGAGTTTTGCTCACTAATGTGTATTCAAAGAAAGCTTACTAATTATCGTCAATAACAATAAACCTTAATCGTTCGGATTTTCTCTTTCAAGGTCTTGTTCAAATTCTTATTCACTATAATGATTTATATGTATGATATTTTGTCGAGTAGAAAAGTCAATGGAGAAAATCGATCTCTTGCTTTCAAACCAAATTTGTCTATGAAAAGTAATGTTTCTTTTGTTTCTACGCATGTGGATAACATAGTACTCAGACAAGGTGAAGTATTTCATTTTCGTCCAGTTATTGATTGGATTGACATGTACAAACATACAAAAAAGCTTTTTATGGATCTGTAGTAGAAAATGAAAAATAAGATGGCAGGAGAAAGACCTTGAAATATTGAGGATGGAAGCTGAACAAAGGGAATTCACAATTGAATTTTCTCTTTGAAATGTGTTTCTTCATTCAAAAATTTCCATGTTCCTTGGTGCCTACTGCATAGATATGCATTGAACTAACCTGGAAATAAAAGAAATAAAATTGGAGTGTCTTTTTTCGAATTTTTAATAGAGTAGTGACTGAATTATTTTTGTGTTGATTATTTTTTATTTCTCTAGATGAAAATACTATCAAAACAAAAATTCGATCGATGTTTTTTCACAAAAGACTGCGCCAAATAAAATCAGTCGAAAGAAATAGAGAAAAAAGAAATGCCATATAAATAGAGAAGTCCTTCAGTCTTTCTGACTACACATTCATTCTGCCAATATTTGAAATCGATCACTTTTCCGATTCTAACAGTAAGAAGTCGACAACAGCAAGTGGGTAGTTTCAAGAATTGAAGACCAGAAACTAGGCTTCCTCGTCCGAAGTGGTATTTCTATATCACGTTAACTTTTCAACACATCTCCAAGCATTTTCATCTTGAGTTTATATTTTAGAATAATCATGCGTAGGTTTTGTCATTCTCTTTTTCAATCGCAATCTATATGTCATATTGTCAACGAATTCTAGCTTTTGCTGAAACATGTTCAATACAAAAAGGTACGAACAGAGATAACTTAAGGAAATGAGCTACAACTAGGAAAAACGTTTTTATATCTTTTCATCTATTTGATGATGGCTTTTGAGGGTATGAGTAAGGATGTACTCTTGACCTACCCATCTACTCATCCTTTCTTCCAAAGATGAGTGAAACATAGCACCTTATAATGTATTAGAGATATATATCACATATGATACATTTAGTGTTTTCTGGTCAAGTTGAATAATACTTTATGATTTTATCAGTTGACATTTATTATATGATTTTACCAGACATGCTATCCGTCTGTATCAGAGTCAATCGAAGTACATGAATGATGTTTTTGACATGTCTATAATCCTTGTTTCATAGCTAGTAAAATTCTCATGGGATACCTAATATTCTGGCATGCACCATATAGATCTAGAATTGTTCTACAAGTTGCGCTACTTTGGTTTTCAAAATATCTTCACAAAATGTAGCTGCAACGATTATTTCGCAACCAATTTCAAAATCATTGGTTCACTCATCTGGAAGAAATCAATAATTAAGCTAACCTCATGAGAGTAAATTCAATAAATCTAAAATCTTATTCTTCTCATTCGTAATGATTCAACCTTAAAAATTTTTGCATAATTACACAGTTGTAACATCTTCTCATGATGCTTAACTAATTTCTACTGATCTCACGCAGATATACTCGAGTCTATCGAACATATTTTCTTGAAGCCTGAAAAACTATCAGCTTTTATTGATTTACTCTACATGGACTAAATCAATAATCATGCGTGAGTTATTAAGGACATATATGAAAGATTCTGGTGTCTATTGCACCATTTGACCTTCAAAAATGGTTCTTTCTATTTCTCACTTTCTGTTTGATCAAACTGATCAAAATTTATACCGAAACATACATTGCTCATACTCTATCTCTACTGTTAAAATCAGCTCTCTACGTATTATCGTTTAGGAATGATGTTCAAAACAAAGTCGCTTTTTTCTCTGTTCCGTATGTTTTTTTTTTGATGGTTCTTCATATGCTTCTTGTCGTTCTTCCGGGTTTTTTCAATTGTAGAAGGAAAAAGTAAAAGGCGACTAATTAGGTTTCTTATAACATTTTGAATGCTCTATATAGTCATAATCTTATTTTCAATTGAGATATATTCGTTTCTTAATAAATTGAACTTTTATCAGTGGTTCCATATAATATTAAAAAAAGTGTCCCACCCCCTTTTGAATCTGCTGTGAGGTCAATAAACAATTTCGGTCAAATGTTTTTACATGAAAAGATTCATTAATTTAAGCACTATCGATTGCTTAAAATCGCAACATAATAGCTTTTTCTGTTGTTGAATAGTTTACATTTTTTGTGATGTCCATTGTCATGTGACCGATATTTTGTCCCACCTCATTTTGCCAATCTCCGGACTAAACGACAAGGAGTTGTGAGCTGATTTTTTTTATCACAAATGTCAATTAGCGGGTATAACTTATGCTATAAATATCAAGACTCTTACTCATTCCTGAAGAAAGTTACTATAAAAATACAGTGAAATGTTCCCATTTTCTAGTTGTACTACACACATATCTGACTGAAAATTTGAAAAAAAAAATTTGTCTAAAATTCATTATTTTGTACTTCTTCTGGATGTGTGAATCGAAAGGGAACGTTTGGAAACACATAAGATCATATAAATCCCTGGATGTCACCATTTTACTCTCCAATAAGATAAAAGATCCCTTAAAAAATTCCTAAGAAACTTTCGGTCTCTAATTCCGACAAAAGAAAAAACTGATAGTTTGCAAAGCCGCTTTTTATTATACTTCAGAGTATTCTCTATCAGATAGTGACACTTTAAAGTACAGCCGTTTACTTTTTTTTGACCATTCTTGCAAAAAAACGGTACAATAGCCACCCGAATCACTCATTTGTATAAATGCAGTCATTTTCGCGAGACCTTTGGGGACGCCATTTATGGAGAATATTGACAATAATTTCATTCAATCGTGATACGAAACATGGGCAGCTCTTGTTCAGTTGTAATATCTTGAGAAACATTGACATGAACTTCGATGCCCATTTTTATAGATCTCAGTTTTTTTCTTCTGTTCTCTCTTCTCTTATCATCGATGTTTGCTAGATGAATTGTTGTAGTGTAGTTGAGTCTCTGTTTCTTGTGCATTGATAATCGTTTAATGTGTGTGTGCGCTTGCTATTCTTCTAATCATCTTCTTCTTCAGAAACAAGATATTTTAGTGAGTGGTATCGACATCAACCTTTTTTTATTGTCAATGAATTTTGAGCATTTTATTATTATAAATCATGGTGGCGGATAAGTTGTATGGAATTTGACAATTTCAGTTGAAGATACTGAAAATCCTCTGGAGAATGAGCAAAATAAGTTGCATATGAAAATTAAGAAGAAAAACAAAATATTTTTAGTGTCAATGATAAATACGTTCGATAAAATCTTTATAAATGTTTCGATTTAATCCTTTGACCGCTTCGTTCTCTTTTTTCAGTCGTTTCTCAATAGGTTTTTGAGGTTGTGTTGCATAGGCAATAAAAGAACAGTGTTGTGTGCACACTGTGGTTACTTCTTGAACAGCTATGTCATTCTGATTGTCTATAGACTTCCCTCTCTAAAGTGAGTAGTGAATCATACAGTTACTGATTCAATTAAGAAATTTCTCGACCGAAATTGATTAAACTATAACGAATCTTATGAATGTACATGAATATTTGTGAATATGACTGTGACTGGAGCTCAGGAAAAGACTGACGGGAAATTCCATTAATACTCACACCTATGCATCTTCATGTCTCACACTCGTGCACTCATACGCACAGTCTTATACTCTACATTCACCCAAACTATTATCATTATGCAGATGATCATCTTGGTTTCTATTTTTGATGAAACATAGCAACTGACTTTGCTTTAAAAAGAATCACAATATAATCTTTTGTGCAGTGAAAGAAGAAGAAACAATGCTTCTATGCAGGCTACTTGTGAGTAGGCTATTGGGACATTAGTCATGGGTTCAATTTGATTCTTCGTTCTAGCTAATCCATTTTGGAGTGATGGCTAGCTCTCTCTTCAGTGGAGTCACCTCGATGACAATTCGATCGATGACTGAACAGGCAACAACTGAACATCGGCAACTATTCGAAAATCGGACTGTAACAGAAAGTCCACTTGGTGACTCTGTGGGCTTCAAAGACAGCCACAGAAATATAATTGAGTTTGTGGATGATACAGACATAGTTCGACTAAATGTAGGCGGTGAACTGATGTCAACATCTCGATCTACTCTTACTCGCGTAATCAACTCAACGCTAGCAAGAATGTTCGATGGTTCATGGGAGTATCAATTGCAACTTGATCGAGAGGGAAATGTTTTTCTTGATTTCAATCCGATCCTTTTTCGTCATTTGCTCGAACAATTGCAAATGATGGAGACTAATGATCCTCAACTTTTCTATCCTCCATCATCAAATTCTCTTATTGCTCCATTTAATAAGTTACTTCAAAAACTAGGCCTCAATGCAGCACCACGATTGGACACAGATATCATCATACTCAATGTTGGCGGTGAAATCATAATGACATATCGAAATACGCTTACTCAACTACCAGACTCCAAGCTCGCAGCCATCGTCTTATTTAACAAATCAATGAGTATTGATTCCAGTGGTTATATTTTCCTCGATTTTAATCCAAGACTCTTCCGCCATTTACTCGATCAACTACGCTCAAGACAGAAAACAACTATTCCTTATTTTCATGCACCAACAAATGAAGATACGAAGGCATTTAACTTGATGCTGATCAGTCTTGGCCTTAAGTGTAAGTGTGATTAGCTTCGCCATTTTTTCAAGACGATTCGAATCAAAGATCTTTGACTAATAGCAAAAATCTGTATTACGTTTTGTGTAGTTATTTCCAGTATATGGATGATTAAGTAGATCATCGAAGAACATCACCTAGCCTTGAAATGTGGCTAAGAAGCCGTAACTTAATCCTAAGAACTGTCACGAATACATATTAGTCACCTTTGTTGTTCTATCTGACAATTGGAATGTATTACGATTTCCATTAGATTCTTCAAAACATCAATGTCAGATAGAGATGTTGTATATAGAGGAGAGTGATAAATAAACGAAGGGGGAGAGGTCAAATATTGAAAAATGGCAGACGTGAGGGCTTCTTTTCAGAAAATGAGTTTCAATTCTATAAATTATTGCTGTTTTCTAGCATTGCGCCGTACCTATGGTATTTGTACGAATGCACAGTGGGCACAATATGGTACACTAGTCATAAGGAGCTATAAAAATGACAATTGGATGGGACAAGAATATAATTATTTACGTGGTTTGTATGTTGATGATAACGAGACTCTGTACGTAGCAGATGCTTCTGATCATCGTATTGTGAAATTGATGCGTGGTGAAATCAAGGGTCAAACTGTCGCCGGAGGGCATGGAAATGGTAGCCGGAGTGATCAAGTGAATGAACCACTTGATTTGATTATCGATAAAGATGATAGCTTAATCATATGTGATTCTGACAACTATCGAGTGGTACGATGGTTTCGAGGTGCCGAGAATGGAGAAATCATCATATCTAACATCGGTTGTTGGGGTTTGGCGATGGATGATCAGGAATGTCTGTACGTCTCTGATTGGGTCAACGATCGTGTGATAAAGTGGTGTGAGGGGAAGATAGATTTGACATTGGTCGCTGGTGGTAAGGGATCGGGAGCTCGTCTTGACCAGCTGAATGGATCGCGACATATAGTTGTCGATCGATATCGCTCTGTTTATGTAGCAGATATGTATAATGATCGAGTGATGAAATGGAACGAGGGCGCGAAGGAAGGCATTATTGTAGCTGGCGGCAACAGTCGAGGAAGTGGTTTTGACCAATTATCAAAACCCATGGGAGTCATGGTCGATGAACTTCACACTGTTTATGTTGCGGATACATTTAATCATCGAATTGTTCGTTGGTCGCAAGGAGCTACAGTCGGCAATGTCATTGTTGGTATGAATGGAAGTAGTGCGAGTACAAATCAATTAAGCTATCCAACGAGCCTTTCGTTCGATAAATATGGTAACCTATATGTGAGCGATTTCGGCAATTACCAAGTTCTAAAATTCAAAATTGACACAAGTTTGTGCTTAGCTGATTGACATTCCTCGATTTCCTATGATACTGTCATTTTCCCTTTTCACCGTTCGTTCATTGAAAGTATTAGCCATTCATGCTAAAGCTAATCAGCAAACCGATCATTGTGTGTTCTTGAGAATCGATTCAGAATTATTAGTAGTTTTATTACAGTCTCATTATAATAGATATTTGTGTCTATCTCGTATTTTATTTTTCAGTTTGTCACTGCTAAGAGTGTGCGTTTGCATAGTGTAATTGTGAGTGTAGGTAAAGGCGTAAGCCAACGTATTGACTTGCGGCCTCAATTTAAAAAAGTCTCAGGCTTCGGCGGTGACGAGCGAAACTATTTAATTTTTATTTGTCTTTCACGTTGTCTCGAATGATTTGACAGTATGGTATCGACGGCTGAAGCTTTTCAACGACGTTTTTTACGATTCTTCAAGGTCGAGAAATTTTAAAACAAATAAGAGAGAAAACGATGGTAGAGAACTTATTGACAACAAAGTGCACAAGAAAACCTCCAAAACTGATTTTGAGCCTCACCAGGCGCTGGAATGTGAGTATGGTTAGAAAGATCAAATAAACCTGTGCCCATATCTACATTTATTCTTGCAAACCGCACAATTCACACTAATGACAAACAAACCTTCACGATGACATTTACTGAATATGGTTTTTGACAATCTTCTAAACGTGCTCGAATCGGATCATCACAGAGTATGGGGAACCCTATAGTGAAGAAACGAACCTGTTTGAATGATTAACACATAGAAAACGTGATTGTCATGATGCCATAATCAAAGGGTATGGGTGTGGGTGTCAGTATCGATGTGGATGTCGTTGTGAAATGGATAAGGGTACATGGATGTGGGTGAGAGTATGTGAATGAGGGTACTGATGTCGATATTGCTCAAGGATTAGGTGTGTTTTAGTGAAAGAGTATACCTTCACATCTATTCATACCCTTCATCGAAACATCACGGCATATCAAACATTATGTACCGACACCCTATACAATCTCATCGATACCCCCACTCGAATATCTCCGCGTGTCATAACACTTTTAGCGAGATTTACTTCGATAACAATATGGACACTCAAACCTCTAACCATATTCGCTTCAACACCTACATCCGACACACGTACAATAACAAACATACCCTTATCCTCAAGATAAAAGCAATTTGTTGTTCATGAAATAAGATTCATATTTCTTTTTCAAATGCTAAATATAGTTTTAGGAAAATCTACTTTTCGAAAAGATTATCGCCTACAGCTGCACATTCGCTGGCTTACATAGTTTTAAACCATTTTGTCATCATAAATGAGGCATTTTTGTTTATAAAGCATTGAATATATTTTGGAGAACCTTCTATCGGATCTGAAAATAAGATTAAGATACAAAGAGTATTTTGTTGTTGAGTGTATAATTAGGTCGACAAACAAATAAATGTAATTCAGCTAGAAAGTATGTTTAACATTAATAAATCCATAAAACTTTTTTCAAGGCTTCATGAACATTTTAGAAGAAATAAAAGTCCTTCATCACGAACAAATAGATTCAATAATTGAATCATGTAAATTTATTTCATTTGTTATTACGTTTAATATTTCTTCAGATTGTTGCTTTTTTATGTATGTTTTACTTTTTCTATGAAATTACTTATACTTGCATGCTTATTTCATTAGCTTAAAACTTAACTAATACATATCTAACCTTAGTTTCTTCTATTAATATAGATCAACATCGAGTGACTACTAAAAATGCTTCTTCAGTTGAAAGTAAATTATTTTCGAAAATAATTATTTTATATTTAGAAGATTTTTAGTATTCAAACAATGTGTCTACATGTTTCTATTACAGAAACAAGAGGAGATGACAGCATAATGAGTATGGATATGAACATATTATTCATTAATATTTATTTTATTGTTAACATATGTACCGATCTATTTATATAGCAATCATGTAAAAGAAGTTTGTTATTCTTTTTTTTTCATTAATATGTTATTTGGAATGATTTATGTGTAGACTGGTTTTGTTTAATTTTATTCAGGACATTATCTAATTATGCATTGTGAAGCTATCCTCTGAATATTCTGTTATCAACTTAGCATCAAAATAATAGTAACTGTAATTTAACTATTCTTTCGTTTTTAGTGTTCTTTTCTCATTATTCATATAAACATGAGTCACTAATGCTTCTATATCTAGCAACAATTTACATGCCAAAATCACTAATCAGTAGTATAATGTAATATGAAACACATCTTGTTAAGAGTATTTTCTATCAATAAAAGCTATATAGCTTCTTTTTCTTATTATATTTGCCTTATTTTATTAATATGTCTTTACTAATAAGAACATTAAGTGTAAACAACAGTTGTATTGGCCATACAATATATCCATTATAATTTATTTAATGATGTGAGAGTTTATGTGGATGTTTTATTTTAAGAAAACTTTGCTTATTCAGATTCACTAGTTTATCATAATTTTTGTAAGAAAGCAATTCCATTCATTAAAATCAAATTCCCAATACATTAATTTACTGTGATCTTTCTTTAATTTTTTTTGTTATATTGATTGTCTGTCAAAGACTCCTCTCGTATATATTAGTATAGGTGTATTCTATTCTATTCATGACAAGTACAATGATAACCAAAATCCATTCGAAATAAACATCTGCAATAAAATCTAAATCTAATGTATCAGAAAACGAAGAAGTAGATTACGAGTATTATACCAAATAAAAAAAAAACAATAGATAATTTTATTTTCATAAAACTTGATAAAATTTCATCGATTGTCAATCAATGTTTTCTTTTAACACAAATTTATTTACTTCAACTATGATTTTATTCTTATAGAATTCATATTCATAAAGGATATTTTCAAATCAGGTCAAATCTTATATTTCATTCACAGTATTCTCTACTGTAATAAGTTCTGTTACGTGATGATCTCAACTAATAAAAAACGAAATAAATTGAAATTGATGAAAGTATCATGAAAAAATAATTAAATATCCATTCAGAATTTTTTCCTTTTGAATTAATAGATAAACATATTATTTCAAATATTTATAAGCTGTTTAGTTTATCAAGAAAACTATTTTGAAAAAACAAACATCAATCATGTCTGCGTATACAAACGTTTTTTTTCACAATATTCATCATCCATTATGATTATTGCAAGAAAGCAAACAGAAGGTTGATGACAAAACATAAACACAGAGACGCAAGAACATACAATAATTGATTGGTCTTTTTCAACCGAAAAAAAGCAACAACAACGAAAAAAGAAAAACGAACACGAGCACTGATCATAATAATAACGATTGAAGGGAAAAAAAAGTATGTTTGTTTTCAAAACAACGACAAAAAGTTGAGACAACGGCAGACATGAATACATTATAAACACTCTAATCATCAATAGTGATTGTACCTGATCGTTTAAATTTCTTATTAACCGATGTTAATGAATGATGATTAGGTGATGTTAATGGACGTTTCTCACCAGTTATATTAGATGAAGGAAGTGCATCTGTAGTTATTGAAGAAGAAGACGAAGAAGAAGATAAAGAAGGTACAAGTAATGGTGGAGGCGGAGCAGGAGAAGCAAATTCATGTGTAATGCCACTTGTAGCAGCTGTTGCTCGTGATCTCAATGTCATTCCATACCGTTTGGGTGTTGCTGTTGTCGCTGTTGTTGTTGTTGTTGTTAACGGGTATTGATCAATTAATTGCGAGAGTCTTTCATCGCTAAAGTCAAATGAAGATAAAGAAGACGAATCATTCGTTGGCGGACATGGTGCATGTCGACAACGGCATACACCATTGCCACATAAACGACGAGTATGTGGTAATGTTGACGGAGGAATACTAGTTGGTACAACAGCTGCTGTTGATGTTGTTGTTGAACTTGATGTTGATGAACATGAATCTGTAGATTTTTTTGTATGACGACGTTTTGCAAGTAGTCCATCAGTTACAGATGATAATTGAAATTGACCGGCTTTTTGAAACGCACGCATTGTTATATTAACAGCACGAACCTTTAAAATAAAAAATAATTATTTATTTAATTGTTTAAAATACATACAATAAGAGATCGAGATGCTTGTGAAAGGATATTAGGTGTTAGTAAAAGTTGTTGATGATCATGTGTTGTTGATTGACTTGAACCACGAAGCCATGCATTCCTTGTTAAATCTTTAATTGTTAATCGTTTTGATGGATCAACAGTTAATAAACCTAAAATTACATATTGTTCAAATCATGAGTAAAGAATCTATCCGTACACATCAACCTTAAAGAATCTGGAAATCGTTTGACTCTTAGTTTCCTACTATTGTGTAGATTCTGAGCTTCGTACGCATGTTTTTATATTTTGAGAAAAGATATTTGTAGAAATCGGAGAGTGAAGCAGGAGTTTTAAGCAATGAAATCAGTCTTTTCTTCAAATCGAGTTTCTAATGTTCTCAATAGTCTATTAAGATGTCAGAACTCGATTGCCTTTCAAGTTAGACAATTAGATCCCATTCTGCTCGCGCCTATCTGACTTAGAAAACTCAATAATATTGATCTCCTAGAGTGTTATGCAACATAATGTTTATATGGAAAGTTTGTTTCTGTCCCTTAGTTTCCTCGACTCGGCTTATATAAATGCATCATTTTTCGCTTGTATTTACGATATGAGGATACTCATGATAAAACTGTTTTACTATTGAGCTGTAAAAGCAGAAATTCAAATTTGAATTATGTATCATCAGATAAACTTTTCAAAGTTCTACAAAATTTTACTATTGCATTGAGTTTTATATGTGAGCAAGACACTTTAATCAAACGTACAATATTCATAAGTGTCAAACGTTGTCCTTTTTGGTTGGTATTTGACAGATTTTGGTCAGCATAATCAGACCTTCTATAAAAATAAGTGATATAAATTCAAAATCGGCATAAAAAAGCTGTCTGGATCTATATGTTTCACAATATCTTCAAAAAACTTTTATTTTCATCT